AGAGTTAGATTTTGCCAGATAAGCACAGGTCCATTTCTGGGCAGTAAGTTCCTCTGCTTCAGTCTTGAAGGGCAATGCGTATGCTGTACTGTATCTCTAGGTGCTGTAGCCTGCTTCCCTTCCTCCACAGTATTGTCAGCTTCCAGCTCCATGTGGTGGCATGGAGCAGGGTTGCCAACTGTCCGTAAATTTCCAACAGTCTGTAAAAAAACAGCCTAAAATGTCTGCCCACAAAGTCTATAAGAAAAATTTAAGTTAGCCATAAAATGCAGAAACTTTGAGTTAATTTCAAGATCCACGTCATAATGAAGCTAAATACAAGCGTTGATACTAGACAGAGGCTAGGTATAGACATTAAAAAAGCCTGAGACAGAATCAATCTAAGTTACATGTTTTTTTGTAAGCAGTGTAGTTTAGATTGGTAGTGAACAGAACACACAGTCACCCCTTAGTGTAGAGGGAAAGGGGGCCAAATCTTAGACCAGGTTCTGCTGTTTTTAAACCAGTCTGTGTGCACTGAACTTCTGTTCTGTTTTGGGTATAGACCAGATTCCAATCATTTGTACCAGTAAAAGTGTAATGTCTGTGCCAGGGAGAGCAGAGAATCACTACCAGGTGTTTAAGCAGAAGCCAGCTCCCTTATAGAGGTGTGTCCATGGCTTGCTGCAGTCACACATCCCAACACAGCTCAGCTCTTCCTGAATGAACCCAACAGACAAGCTGCCCTACCATGAAACAGAGCCCTCCTGTGCTGACACACACTACTGGGGCCCATACTCCCTAGGACACTTCCTGATGGACTCTCTTCCACCTGCATCCTACTGCAGAGGGACCTGTGAGGAGGGGCAGCAGGGCAGGGTTAGCTGCCCCAACATGTGGCCTCTGTCCCCCAGATGGCACTGGTCTGGAGGAAATGTACTGTGGAATAAGCTTCCAAACCCAAGTAATTAGGTGTTGGGAATGGTACTGCTAGACTCTGCAGAAGAACTGCAGTTTTAATACTTGACCAGCAAAAATATTGGTGGCCTAAGAGTCTACCAGAGAGACATATAGAGGAATTAATAATACCTGCCTCTCTCTCTTTATACACACACACACACACACACACACACACACACACAAGTGTATGCTTATAAATGTGATCAAATAAAAATGTCTACATATCTATACCTATGTAAATTATATATTTATATTGTTGCCACATAAATACATTATACTATATAAATTATCTATACTTAAAACTAATTTATACAGGGAGAGTACCAATTTAAATCAATTCAAGTATTCAATATTATAGGTATTATATAGAGGTATACTTGCATATACTTACAGAAACCATTTTAATCCAGTTTAGTTATACTACGGTTCAATCTCTAATCATGTCTATTAAATGTATACTGTCTATATGGGTGCATATGAATAAACACAGCCCATTTTTATGAGAGGGATTGTTCTACAAGAGAGAGAGAGAGAGTCCTGCCCAGCATAAGCACCGACTTTTATTTTTGGTGGGGTAGGCCTAAGATGATGGCCAGAGCAGAGCTGAGAAGAGCCTGTCGGGGGCAGGGGGTGGATATGAGCGGCCTGCTACAGATTCCCTGCCCTGCAGCCCTGCCCCCGGGAGCCCGTGTCAGCCATGCTGCCATGACAACGCAACCCCTGGCCACCTGGTGGCAGCAGGGGGCACAACTCTGCATTGCCACTGCTGCTGGCACCCCTGCTTCTGCCAGGTGGGCAAAGTGCAGCTGGCATGGGGCTCCTGAGAGGTTGGCAACAAGGCAGGGAGCCTCAAGCCCACATCAGGAAGCCTGCATCTGCCCCCACTCTGTGCATGAATCGGGGGGGGGGCATGTGCCTCTCCATCTCCAGGAATGCACACAGAAACAGGGAGCTGACCCCCCCTCCTGCCCCCTGGAGAAGCTGACCATGGCTCTGTCCCACTCCCCACCCCAGGGCCCCAGGCACTGCCCTGGCTGGGCAGTGACTCCAAGCCCAGACTCTGACCCACCCCTCCCTCACCATGGGGTCCTCAATCTGCCCACTCCCCCATAGACTTACCTGCAGGCAGCTGAAGGATCTGCTCTCCGTCGCTGTCTGGGGCTGTATTCCTGGCCATGTGAATGTGTGCATGTGCACACATGGATGTAGCACCCCCTGTGTCCCTTTCCCCCCAGTCCCTTGCAGGCTGGAACTCTGCCAGTTTACAAGGGGAAACCCACCATTTCCTGTGTTTTTCCACGGTGAATGGAAAACCCAGATCCCTATATGATACTGGGAATCCAGGACAAATGCTGGGGGACTTGACTTAGGTTCTGCTTAAACACCTGGTAGTGATTCTCTGTTCTCTCTGGCACAGACATTACACTTTTACTGGTATAAATGATTGGAATCGGGTCTATACCCAAAACAGAACAGAAGTTCAGTGCACACAGACTGGTTTAAAAATAGCAGAACCTGGTCTAAGATTTGGCCCCCTTTCCCTCTACACTAAGGGGTGACTGTATGTTCTGTTCACTACCAACCTAAACTACACTGCTTACAAAAAAACCTAGGACTTGACCTAGGACTTGATTCTCCCATTTTGGGACTGTCTGGCCCAATTAGGGCTGCATAGTCACCCTATGCCTCTTCCTGAGGGGTGCCAGGGCCCTCAGGCCCCCAGGTACTTGGCACCAATGCTGCCCAGGGTATTCCTGGGGATCAGTGTTGCCAACCCAAGAACAATATTTTTATTGGAAGTTTTTTATTGACAACTAAACTTTCTTGATTTTTTTTTTTTACCATACTTAATGTTAAACCCCTAAATTTGACCCCAGTCCTTCTAACTGGAACTTGACAGAAGGGTAAGGAGTTGTATTTATTATATTTACATTATGTAAAGACTATATCAGTAAAATGTTTGATTGCCAGTAACAAGTCTGCAGATTGTCAATAAAAAAAATGTTTTTGGTTGGCAACCCTGGCATGGAGAAAGTCATAGATGTAATTTTGACTCTCTTATGGAAACAGATACCCTTGGGCAGTAGGAAGAAGCAGTTTTTGAGTTTCACCAAGCCCAAGTACCAAAACGGTTACTAGATTTTCTGCAAGGTGCACAAACATCCTAGAAAATATTTCTGCTGCCTTCTCTACAACTATCCCACACTGAACTACACCTAAAGATAATTTGATCCATAGGGTTTTATGTGGTAACAGAGCAACTGTTATAGAGTGAGCCTGTTGCATTTCATTCCTTGGCCTAGAAGAGGGAGTAATATTCCCCATTATAAAATTTAGAAAGACACATTCACCTTGAAACTGCACTTCTAGCTATTCCTGTATTTTAGCTTGTACATATACATTTTAGCTTTTAGATTTTAAGCAGCAAATTCTTAAAGTATATACATTTTTATGACTTATGAATCATGACATTTAATTTTCTTCATCAACATTAGTAGGCATTTGCTTATAATAATGGGCCAGAGCTTATCTAGTACTAGACAAATTTTATATTACAAAATGATTGCTGAGCTTAGGAAGGTGTATTCATTTGCATTTAAATTCTCTTTCAAATCAGTGAAATTCTGCCACCCTCTGGACAGTAACCAAACCGAGACATTTCTTACAGGCAGGCTCAAAGGATACTGGAAAAATATCGTCTGCTGATAAATAGTCATTGCTTTTTATTAAACACATTTTTTAAATTTAAGTTTTAGGCCGCATAAATGTTAATAGTTGTTATTAAACCACAAAAAAAATCATTCTACAGTTACCTCACTAGTGATATCTAGTCAAACCCCTCAAAAGGCTTAAATTGTTCAATTCTTAATCTTGCCTAGCAGTCACTTTACTGTTTACATTTATGTCTGCTACCAACTTATGAATTTCTATCCCCTTGGTTTAAAAGGCTTATTTGCCAATCAATGAAGAGTCCTACACAGTTAGCAGTGTTAATGATGAATCCACTCAATTAATATGTATAAAAACATAGTTCAATGGCAAAGAGAAAGACAGAGAGAGATTTGTGTTTTGGTTGAACAAAATTAGCTATAAAGGCACGATTAGGGAAGTTTATTTCTTGCCACTCTCCATTCATTTAGCAAGTAGCACTTAATACAAATGAAATTCACAATGAATGCATTTATGTGATTATTTGAAATAGTAAAGGTCTGAAAATTCAGAATTTTAAATTGCGTTTCCAGGACTAGTTAAAGACCACAGAACAGTGAATTGCACAGTACCTTGTTTTGGTTATGGAGCCTAACTGTTGTTGTGCTTGGATGAGATCAGCCAGCTGTTTTTGCAAAGACATATCCTTACCATGGGCTTGTTTAATAAATGGGTGCTCTAAAAGGTGGGTGACTGAAGGACGGTTTTCAAAATCCTTAATAAGACACCTGTGAAGCAGAGCAAAAGTGTTATGCATACAGTAAATGTTTTAGTTATAAAATCATTTCCTTTTAATTGACCATTACACTGTTGGCATATTGTTTGGCAGCTACTATAATGTGGAGCAGGTTTCTTGCAGGTTCCAATGAACTGGGCTTACTAAATGTACAAAGGGACCACATTTACTGTTCATTTGCACTGGAATAAGTCTAGAATAACATTATTTAATTCAGTGGAGCTCCTCCACATTTATATTAATGTAACTGAACAGAACCTGGGTCAACAAATATATTTCACTTTTGGAAAAAGACAAACGGTATACGTTTAAGATATAATTTTAATAATGACTGAAGTATCCATGAAAAATATTTTTTATCTAAGAGCTATGAGCATATTCCTGTAGTTCTTCCTAGTTCCTTACATATATCCCAATGGGCATTTTAATTGATAATGTATGTGGGATTTAACCTGTTAAAATAAGTCAGCCATCACGAATCAAAGCAATTTGATGTTTTTTTAATAGACAAGTAATATTTCAAGGGGCTATCATACTGAGTTTCTAGGTGCTAATATAAAAACTTGGGTAAATCAGCAAATCTACTTGATTTAGATTAGAAAATAAAAAAGAAGAAGAAGAGAGAGAGACAGATTTCAATGCAAACCCAGATGTAAAAGTTCAGTGTCAGAGAAGGGGGAGCAGATGATTTAGGAATAAGCTGACAGATCCCATTCAATTAGCACATAATAAGATTTAACTAGCAAATAGGATAACAAATAAAGATCTAAACATCTAGGAAGACATGATTAAGAGTATAATTCAATTCCATTAAAGCTGGAATACTATGGTCCAAATAAAAAATTGCTGTTAACACACTGGACTTTTTCACAGTGTCCTTTAATTCCTCTTTCCATTAATTTATTCTATTTGCCTTATATCAATATGATACTGATGTCATTTGCATATCAGAACAAGAAAAATTGCAACTCGGTATAAATGACTATCTACCATATAGCTATCAGTTTCATGAATTTGACGTAAACTCAGTCCAAGGTGCGTTTTTCTGAAAAGATGTTTTCAAATTAAAATGTTTTATACTTAGCTTTGTATTATTTGATATTTTATGAAGCAGCTACTTCATATATACAGTTAAAGGAGATTTTACTTGGAAAACTTGACCAGGATACACTTTTACACAAAAAGAACTGTGATACTAATACTTTTTACAGTACTTGACACTCTATCAATGGGAATCTTCAGATTTTAAATTATACCTAAAAGATAGCACATTTTAGAAAATTCTGAAATGACAAAACACACTAGAAGTTTATTAAAGTCCAGCCTCACCTTGAATATTTTATTGGAGTCTAAAGCCAGGCTCCTAAAATAATCCTGTCTTTCAAAATAAAGTTAATAGTTGTGGTCCTTCCAAACCATTTCATAGCCCCTTCTTGCTGAACCATCATCCAGTCCAGAAAAGACAGTCTGTAAAATGTTCTTCCAATTTTGCAACTGATTTAAAGAACATTGCTATCTGTTACAACAAGCTTCCTGATAGAAAAACTCAACCAACAAAACCTACATTATCTCTATTCTTCTGATCGCGTGGTTATAAATACCAGTTCTGCCCTCCCATGAAAAGAAATCCATCATTTGGCTTTACAGGTTCTCAGGTTGGTGTGGGGGGTAGGGGGAGGGAGTTGGCTGCTTTGTTTCTTGTTCTTCAGGATGTTTAAAAGTCAAGGCAGCCATATTGTGCATATCATCCTTTGCTTAAATTTATGCCCTTCTCTACAGAAATAGATAATGAGTGTATGTATGAGTATATTTATAAGGAGAGATATCACTAAACACTAGTAATTATGAGAGAAAAAGACAAAACTACCAAATATACAAAATCATGTATCGCTTAGTTAATAAAATTAGTGATCTAGGTGTCTAAAATGGAGAATATAAAAGTTTATAGTGAACATATTTGACTTTTACCACCTTAGCAGTATGATACAATATGGTATGTTATCATATATGATAAATGGCACAATATACCTCATCCATGGTATAATGGAATAAAGCATGTTCGTGAATTTGTGTAGAGTATGTACATATATATTTATTTATACATACATACATACATACATGCATACATACATACATAAACTAATAGATAAGAAATTGTATTTTGATATAACTGATAATATCATGTGCAAGGACAACATCCAAATGTTCTTAAGAAAGTTAAAAAAATAAAGATTAGTACAAAACTTGCTCAAGAAATTACAGAGTTCCACATAGAAAACAAAGTACTGTTAAAGTACAAATAATGTGGAATCATTTCAACTTGCAGTATTGAAGATAGTAGGACAAATTCTGTTCTCAGTTACACCTGGAGAGTCTGCAGCAACCTTATTGACTATATCCAGAACCTTTACTAGGAGTATTTAGATATTAAGGTAGCCAATGGCTAAAACATCCAGCAGTCCATACTCCTACATGTATATTACAAAATTACCTACCTAATTACAAAATCATTACTGTGGTTTTGTCAAGAAAACAATAATAAATATTACAGAAATACAGTAAAAAATATTGGAAGCCAGTTTTGTTCTCATTTTTTGTAGTTCAACTAAATAACATATGAGCGCTTCTGGACATAGAAGTTGCCATGATGGAATCACACT